GTTTACAAATTAAGCCCTGTTACTTGGTATGTCTTACTGCTGTTATAATTCTGTTCAGTTCAATGCAAAGAGTTTTCTGTAAGAATTTGAAAAAGTGGCGATACATTTATGTTCATTATGTGAATAGGTAAAGTTTTAAAGTGGTTTTTGATTCTGTTAATTTTCTCAAAACTGATTTTTGGAAGTTGACATTAAACATGTTGTTAATTAAGTGCGTCTTGAATGAAAAATACCCCTTGTTTAAAAGTATAAAAATTGTATTAACACTATTAAAGAACAGGTCTTAAGTATTTATGTTACACAAATATTTCTATTGCATTAAAGAGGCAAGTTGAAGAAAATTATTTAATAAACATGAGAGTTATGAGGGGGTCCTTGAAACTTTTTCTCCCCTGTAAGGGGTCCCTGAACCCAAAAAAGTTTGAGAACCTCTGCCTTAATGAATGACAGAAAGGGATGATGACTCAGTGGCAGAAACTTTGGCGAACAGCACAAAAGTCCACAGAACGACAACTAAAATAAAATACAGGAGGCCTATGAGGTAAACACAGAAAGACCACCATTTGGTTTCAGTTTTTCACACACACTGAGTTTTTGAAGGCTTTTTGAAGGATCCGCACTGTCCTTACGCGTATGACATGGAAAGTTTCTTAAATCATACAAATATTTGAATGTTGTGACAATTTATTACCGTTTGAAGTTCACATTTAACGATTTATGCCTAAGAATATTCAAACAATTTTATTTTGTTTGGGAACAATGTCTCTCAAACTCTAATTACACTTTTAAAAATTGTTTGTAGGTCTGACAGCCGCTCTGTAACAAAGCACAGTCCCAAAGAGCATTGCAGTTTGTCGGAGGGTTCCATCAAAAGCCGGTTTGCATGAATATTTACATTCCTGCGTAATGTCTCACATATGAATATTCTTTAAGGAGACGGTAAAATGGAAAACAAGGATTGTCTCCAAAGGTAGAAAAACAAAAGCTGATCAGTAGTTAATGTGTGTTTGGAAAATCATTAAACATGATCTCACAATAAATGTCTCAAACGACTGATGTTTTTATGTCCCTTCATAAAAGACCACCTATCATCACAGTATTACAAAGTGAGTGATTCTGTGAACAAGATCCATCTGTTGAGAGTCAAATGTAAGCTCTGCAAAGAAAAAAATATACTTTGAGTGCAAAATATGGGCTAAAACACCAGAAAAATACTAAGTTTTGAAGTAATGTTGTACAACTTAACTGCTAAAATTAGCTAATTATGCTAACTAAAATTCATTAGTTATGAACAACCACCTTACAGCAACAAGAAAAAAAAAAAGAAATCCAGATTTTATCAATTATATAGAGAATTATTTGTTGATTATGTACCATATTTTTTGTACTATAAGGCACATTTAAAATCCTTTAATGTTCTCAACTCTGCTGTATTAACTCTGATTGTGCTTAATGGCCTTGAACTGATTTTATGTGGTTATTGTGAATGAGTTGGATAAAGTTTGACTTATTTGACTGTTTAGTTTCACCTAATGCGCCTTATGATCCATATGAAAACAGACCCGTTCATTGATATTGCGCCTTCTAGTCAGAAAAGTATGGTATATAAAAATGCTATTGTTTTGCTATTGAATGTTATTGTTTGGTCATAAGCTGCAGAAATGATCAAATTTCCATTAATTGATAATTGAAAGAGGAAAATTACTCATTCAAGTTTGTGTTAATATGTAAATATTATTTATGTTAATAATATGCATGTATTACTATCTAAAATACTATTCAAAAAGCATACATGATGTACAAAATCGCATCTATGTCACGTGTCCAGGACCCTGCAAAGGTTTTGTTCTTCTTGTGTCTCATTCGTACAATGGAAACATCTCATGCTGCGTCTGCAACGTTAAACCTGCTCACCCCTCCGTAAAATGCCCCTTAACCTTTCCCCGGTCACACACAAGGTCAATTTCACACTAGTTTCAAAGCCATAAAGCCGCATTGAGCGAGTCAGGCTTTGGGCGCCGGACAATTGAGGAATGTGTACAGCAACGTCCCTCGCACTCAATCACACACACACACCGACATGTAGAGAGCTGCACACACTCTGAAGAACAACACATCTTCATCTAAGCATGTGTTTATCTAAAAACCCCTTTGCCAAGCTTTTGTTAAAGCCACAATCCCCCCGCCTGCTTTATTTCTCCTTCTTTGTGTCCACATATTTTCTGATTCTTTTTTCGCTCTTTTTTTTCCCCCTGAGAAACAAACAAGCGCTTGCATGCTGTGTTGTTGGTCTGAGTGAAGAAAGGGGGCCTGACCCTGAGAAAAGAGGAGGGGGGGAAGAGACTTTTGACGCCAGGAGCCCAGACCACAGCTAATAGAGAACAGGTGTGGCGGCAAAGAGGAGATTAGAGGAGAAGAGATATGAGGGGGACTTACAGCATGCAATGGATGCTCCTGTGGTTAAATCCAAAGTATTTTACAAAAAGTCTGTCAACTGTTAGTCCTCGGTGTGTGCAGCGTTTCCCACTAACCGTGTGTGTGAGAGTAGCTGTAGAGACTTTGACTCGGAGGCGTTCCACTGAAGTTGGAGTAGCCCAGTATTCCTGTCTGTCCTGGAGAGTGACTCAGACCGTCCTCCGTCTTAATGTCTACAATAAAAACATCAGAAAATTTATGTTGCACTCAGGATAAACCCAAACAGCAGGCAGGGACAACATCTATCAACCAGTGCCTACTATCTGAACTAACCATTTAATAATAATTAAAATACAATGGTGGTGTTTGTTTTGGGAGCTTGCATGTCAACCAGTTAATGAAATGGTTTAGCCTGAGGAATGCATGGTTTTATGTGTCAGTAAAACGTGAACAAATGTCTGTTTGTTCATTAAAATCGACTACACTGATAATCAAAGAGGATCTGATCATTTATTAAAATGTGACAATAGTTCTCTGTTGCAATTTTTTTCCGTTATATTTTAGTCAAAAAAATGTCACATATCACATTACCTCATGGCCTCTCTGGTTCCCCTTTTTTTTTTCTTTGCATTGTTGCTGTTGACTTCAATTATGTCAAATCATTTAAAGAGGATTCTGCCCAGGTTTTAATGTCTTGTTAACAAATAAAGAAGATATGATAACTAAGACATAATTAATTGTATGTATGCCCTGGCATCATATTAGTTTTGCCGTTGAGATAGTTTTAGAAACATGTCCTGATTTTCTAATATATTGCTGTTTGTGTACTTACTGTAGGATGGCATGCTGTAGCCCTGTGTGTGGTGGGTGTAATGCGCGTATGGTCCTGCAGGTTGGAGGGCCGGGCTGTATTGAGTCTGCCCGTATGCAGCCATGACACTGATCTTAGAGAAGAAAGAGAAAAAAATAAGGACATTTTCTGCAACTAGTTCTTCTTCTCTTCAACTGTCAGATCGTAACATCAATTTTATTGCACATTATAATATTTTGTCATTTGATGCCAGGCGCATCATGCAAAATTTGAGATGTCGGTTCCTCAAATATGAAAAAAACAAATAACGATCAAATAATGCAGTAAGTCAGAAAACGTCACAATTTCCTCTTGAATAGAATAAGCTAAATGTTGCCCGTTTGTCTTCTTGAAAATATTTACTTGGTGTATCATGATAAATATAATATTCAACAGTAATTACATAAAAGAATAAAAATGAATAAATTACCCAATATACGCGATAGGTTTGAAACAAGGAGAAGGAGGTCCCTGTGAATGAAGCGAACACAACACATGGTTGCCAGTTTGAAAATCAATAATTTGAATAGTTCTATGAAATACAAACAAAGAAGAAAAAAGCCGTATTCACCTAAAATTAGTTTAGTTTAGTTTATTATTTTTTGAATATGTAAAAAAACAAACAAACAAAAATACAGCATGACACATTTCGTCAAAATTTTTTGTTGTACATATTCAAGGGAGTGGGTATAAACTTATCAACTCCTTAACCACTTACATAATCTTACATTTATTACATATATAATCCATAAATATAACTAAACCCACATTTAACCTGTCAGTATAGTAGCTATTAATTTAAACAATTATTATTTCTTTAACTTCAACAAACAAACAAACAAAAACTAGCATCAATAACAAAAACACCAAGAATAATTGAATAATAATATTACCGGTATATATTATATCCAGCAATAATCATATGTTTGTACGAAAATTTGATCAGTTTTATGTTTGGACATTGTTTAAGTTCAATTTTCAAATTATTCCAGTTTGACTCCACTTACCGATACACAAAAGTTATTTTCTAGTAGTTCTGAATATGCAATTTTCAAACCGTGATTCCCCCTTAACTTAAACATTTGCTCCTTAGTCTGAAACAGGTTTTGAGTATTTCCCGCTAACTCTTTATTTTTGGCTTTGTAAAGAATTAGGGTTATTTTACAAAAGGTGTATTAGTGCTTTCTAAATATTCCACCTTATGGATTATTCTTATTTCTCTTTTTTGTAGTATTGTTAATGCTTGTAGTGTAGTTTTGTAATAATTGCCCCAGATTGCTGCACAATAACTGTAAGATTAATGAACAGCAGCGTGCATGTAATGCTTTTTGTTCCACGACCGACTTGGCTTTGTTTAAGAGGGCGATATTTCTTGAGACTTTTCTTTGAACATATCTGATGTGTGGTTTCCAGTTGAGTTTATCATCAATAATGACACCTAGAAATTTGTTTGCATGAACTCTTTCAATAGTCACTCCATCCATTTAATAAACATAAAAATTGCACAGTCCTAATTAGTAAATTTATCATAAAGCGAAACTCTTTCTTTAAGAAACCAAAACTTTGATGGATTAACAGACTGTCTTCACTTTCTTTTGTTTTCTCACCTGCTCCTACAGAGAGAGAGCTGCGTCCTCTTTTTGTCTGTCCCACTTCAGTTATTCTTGTTGTTCTTCAGAAACCGTCAACTCTCCTGTAAAAATAATAAATAAAAAAAACAGATTTGAAGTTGTGGACAAATGATGAATTGACTTGAGTTCTGTGACAGCTGAACAGGGAGAGCTACATCTTCCTCATGAACAATGGCTTTGAGGACTGACAGAAACAAAGAGAGCAACTAAAGTAATGAATGGTCTCCTTAACGATCAATAATTATTAGCAATGTGAAAGATAAACAATTATTTCGAGAAACTACCACCTACTCTCGAAAATACAGCAGATTAAACAAAAGCTCAGAGTGAAATGTCAAATTTACAGTGACAGCATTACGTTGAGTTATTCACGAGCCGTAATGTTTTGAGTGATGTGATGAAATAAAAGCGCTGTATGAAACTGGAATATTTTTATATATACTTCATTAGTTCTGTTGTATTTCTGCTGTCAACTGAAATCAAAGGCACCCTGGTGAAACATGTGACCCAGTCGATTCAAAGCTTTCGACCGGTGAGATAACGGAACAGAAACAAATGACTGGAGGAAATATTTGGTGAGAGGAACTGAGTAATTTATGATGGTTAACAGAAAACATAACGTATCGCTGTGTCGCCTATACCTATTTTACATCTTTAGAAAAAGTACAAATACAAATAGTAAGTGACACATTTACACCAACCTCACAATACTCCTTTGATCTAAAAGGACCAAACCTATGCATCTAGAATACCAAATCTAGTGGCAAAATGCTAAATAAACAAAATATAAGCATTATAAATGATCGTTTACATCTTGAGGAATTTTATCGTATTGTAAAACATTACATATCCGTTTGGAGTACTTTAACTTCAGTGATTAGTAGTAAAATACTGGAATAAATCTGAATGAATTCTAAATTAGCCCAAACCTTTTACATTCCAAAAACTACAATGTCAGAAAATGTGTTCATTAATCTCAAGTGACAACACATCATGAAGCAAAAGTGAACTCTACATAAGTCATTTAATCAAATAAAGGTTCAAAAGAAGCAGATAGATATTTATCAACAATTGTTTATATTGTGTTTATATTGTTATATACAGTATTGTGAAAATATATTAATTGTGGGGTGTCGTCTGTCAGTATTCTTTATTGAAAACAGGTCTCTTTTGTAAATGAGTCCTCGAGGCTCAATGAGACTAACCTGTATAAATAAAAGTTGAATTAAATTGAAAAAATACAGGAAAAGTTAACTTGTGTATTTTCCTGAAAATAAATTAGGTGAAATAACAAATATTGCTTTTTTACATTTTAAGTACTGATAAAAAAATAAAAAAACGTACCCCTCAATAATATTCCCCATGAACAAAATACAAAAGTACAGTAAAGCTCTCTCATTCTCTTTACTTACAGGTCATGTGAAAAACAGATATTGCTTAAATTCATTATTTTTTACAATATTTATTTCACTAAATTGATCACACATTCTTCGCTTTTATCTCTTTTTTTTTTTTTTTTTTTTTTTGCCTGTGGGCCATTTCATTATTACCAAGTTGAAGCAAACGGTCTAAACTCCAACCTCACTGACAGCAACAGATGACTGCTGTGGATTACAGGACCAACAAAGCTGCTGCAGAAAATCTGATTGATTTGTATTTCATTTCTAGTTTTTATTCAGAAAATTAAGAATACAAAAAAAAATATTAAATGCCAATATATCATTTTCCAATGTTTCCATTGTTATATTTTGCCAAATGCTAATTTACATAATTAGTATTTGGTTGAGTAAAAAAAATACTGTATAAGAAAAATAAATAAATCTACCAACACATCTGAAATGAACAAAACTAGAAATGTGACAATAAAAATAAAATACACAAAAAACAGACGGCGGGAAAAAAAAGGTAATTTATAACTAAACAAAGAAAAGGCTGATGTGACAGAAATTTAGATTCACAAAGTGACTTCATCACACAAGTGATCAATGAAGCATCCTTAATAACAGCAGATAATGATGATAGTCCATCCATCCATCCATCCATCCATCCACCCATCCATCCTTCCATCATCGTCTTTTCCCACTTCTTCGTTTTCGGCTCAGGAGGGTCACTGGTACCCATGTCCAGCTATCACTGTGCGAGAGGCGGGGGACACCCTGGACAGGTCTCCAGTCCATCACAGGGACACATAGAGACAAACGACCATTCACTCTCACTCACAACTAGAGACATGAACTTAGTTAATAATTTCTCGTTTGAAAATCCAAACTTCTATTCTAAGCTAGGAGCTCATGTTTATACATTATCCAGCTCAAAATTTGTTTTTAACTTTAGTCGTAGGTCTTGCAGTCATCATGGATGCTAATATAATATTTATGACAAGCCATCTCTGAAACAAACAAACAAACAATAAAAAAGACATAGATAATCTGCTAAGAAAACTATTTCAGAAAGTGCTGTAGCACTTTGCATTTCCTATCATCTCCCAGGGTTCAAAAGTGACAATCACATTTGATCAGGATCATTTTTACTTTCATTAAAACAATTATTGATGCACACGCATGTGAGGACACACACACACAAAACAACTGTGTGTGACAGCCAAGGCACTTCCTGGTTCAGGGCGAGGCCTGGGAGGAGAGTGTCCAAGGCCATGGGAACTACAGGACACCGGAGGGAAGATGAACAGAGCTCAGCAGAGATGTGGAGAGCCAAGGTCTGAAACCAAAGCTTAAACAAACTCAGCAGGGCCACGGGGGGCCACAAGGCCACAAGGCCAGTCCCACTAACTTCACCTGGGTTCCAGGGTTCTGCTAGTCCACGGCTTCTTTCACGGATATCAAATTCTAGTCTTTGTGTTGTGCATTGTCTTTAAAGTTGAGATGCAATTTGACACAGTTCAAGGGAATAACTAACCCACTAGGTGATGAAAACATGACTGACACAAAACTGAATCACTTCATAAGAGAGTGGCGTGCTCGTAAAAATTGCTTTGCATTTTAACCGACTACTCTAAAGGCCAATAAGCACAACTGCTGAAACAGGTACTGTATAAACAGCAATATTTATTCAATTTATTCCAAGTGTTGCCTCTAAATTTAGAAAACTAGCTGTGGTAACAAAGGAGAAAACCTAGACATGTTTTTCAGAGCAGAATTGCAATCCTGCTTTCTTTTTTCACTAATATCACACTACCCTAACCAAGCATTGTTTATAAGTGAATGTAACAGTTTGTTAAAACATTACAAATGAAAATGACACTCAATTTTTAAACTTGGGACTTTTGTTTAAGAGGCTTGACACTACTTTCTCTTGACATTATAACCACACTTTCAAGTTTTTTTTTCTTTGAAGAAAAAGGGAGTATGAGGAACGTTAGTGTCAGCAACAGGCTGACTGTCTCTTTAGTTGCATCCATATTACTAATATTACCAGACTAGTAAGAAATAGCAGCACAAACAGTCTTTTTATTCACATGGTAAAACCACTGAGTGGTTAAATTAAGCTTAGTTGGCCCATGAATCAATAATTATCTGGTGGGGTGTCTGATGTTTGTCTGATTATGTTCATATGCATATACAGTGTCAGCATGTGAGCCGTTCCACTGTCTGTCTTGATGCGACAAGAGAGAGTCGTGTTACAGACAGCAGTGACGGCCTGACTTTTATTGAAACAGAGCGGTTCTAAATCAGTGGCCTGAAAAGGTGACGTGCTGGTCTGGTATCCCACCATATGGGACCCCACCTGGAGCCCTCAAATTGGACAGTCTTCATAAGTGCCTGGGGGGATGTGGGGGGGTTGAATCACTGTTGCACACAAATGTCTCTTCTCAGTTCCTGATAAAAGACATAGAACAAGGGGCCATTATTTGGTTCTGTGTGTCAGGATTTTTTTTTTTTTCGTATAGGAAAATGGTGCCATCTGCCAGCTACTGCTCTCTTCTAACCACTGCTGACACAAATTTCAGCAAGACAAGCTCAACGAAATACACAAAGAAATAGCAACCTATTTTAAGTATTATCTTTTTTCTTTGTAAATGAATTCCAAATAATTACAACCCCAACAAATGTAACATTATTAAAAAAGTCATGACTTTAATTGGAAGTTGAATACTGACATTTTCCCTAATAGCTTTTGTAAAATCTTAAGGTATTAAGTAATAAACATGAATGGAAGAAAAATTACACATCACACTCAGCAGACTTCAACATTTCTACCTTGTAATAAGTCAGTTAGTTAATAGTTAATAAGTTCACAATAGATTTTTCTTTATTAGCTGTGAAACATAAACAACATACTGTAAGCAGCCAACGAGGCTGAGCTCTTCTATCTTGTAACTGCAGAATCACCTCATTTTGTAAGTGGGTAAAAAATGTCAAACAGTTTCCACAACTTGCAATTTGTCAAAGCTTGTGATCAAGAGTGCAGTTTATCCAACATGTGCGTTAATACCAGTATTAGCTGTATGCTATTTAGTGTGCTAACACAGTCAAATTGGAAAGCTCATCTTAATTGTTTGCACTTATTTATCTTAAGCTCAGTAAGAGTTTCAAAATATTGCAATTTATAATGTTTGTAGAAAAGAAAAAAAAAGAAAAAAATTACAAAGTATGTTTCAACATAAATTTTCCTTGTCCTTACTACATATTTTTCAATTGATAAATATAACAATTGCATTATAATAATTTAATCTTAACCAATCATGTAGTAATGCAAGAAACAACATAAACCACAAATAAAAACAGAAACCCCCAAAAGGGCTTGCACATACCAGTAGTTTCATTTATGTTAAGAGCGACCGTATGAGAAGTGCATAAAGACTGGCTCACTTTGTGTCCAACATAAGCCACTAATACAGCTAAAAATAAATGTGTCTGCTCTGGTTAGATTTGGGCATTACATATTACTTAATGCAATAGATAAATAACAAAAGCATATAAAAAGCTGTAGAGATTTATTTATTTATTTAACAATGTTAACTCAGAAGCAAAGTGCATTCTTTATAGAAACATAGCTGCATCTAATAGAGGGAAAAGAACATACCTTCATCCTTTGTTGTGGG